GCTGCTTGGCCTGCTGTGTTCATCCAGCCCTGCACCTCGTTGTCTCGGATTCTCCAGCATCTGCAGTTCCTACTATCTCTGCTATCTCCCCTGTCGATTTCTGTCAAAATCCTAAAACTTAAATCAAAATCACCCAAGGAATACAAAGTGAGTTGATGTAATGTCTCCTTATAATTGATGGTTTGGAGAACTGGTGTTGTGGTTCTTCCAAAGGCAGTGGAAGCAGATTTAATACTGATCTCCAAAAGGAGAATTTGGTAAGAAACAATGTTTGCAGGCTGATGGGGAAAGAGCAGGGGAGTGGAACTAAATAATGAGCTCCGAAAAAGAGCCAGAACGTGGACCATGGGCTAAATGATCTTTGTTGTATAATCATGCGCTACACAGTACAGATGAAAGCTTGTGGACATTTTGATGAGGCTGAATTCTCTACATTCTTAGCAAGACTACATCAGTCATCTAGCTATACTGTTGAAGTTCCTGTGGCCTAGAAAGCCATTTTGAACGATCTTCCGTTATGTTGTTCAGTCGTCTGTGAATAGCTACACAGTACTAAAAATAAATCAGTAACTTACCTTCAAAAGTATCTTCAAATCCCTTTAATGATCTGTCATTTTATAACTTTCACTGCTCTGCAAACAGTGTCGAAAAAAAATTATCTTCTGACAAAAATCCTAATTAAAAGGGGTTGGAGTAACTTTGGTCAGGAATATACATGAGTTTCACTTTATAGAAAAGGTTTGTAGTGAAAGTTAAATCCCAGGGATAGAGTCTTTCGTTGGAAGGAAGCCCCTGAAAAATGGCAAATGTGTACACACAAGAATTCAAGAATTAAGTACAGGAGTAGGCTATTCAGCCTTTAGAGCCTGCTCGGCCATTTAATAAGGTTGTGGCTGATAATGTTTGTAGCCTTAGGTCCAATTTCCTGTCTGCCACCATTCCCAGACCCCTGTACCCCGTAATCATTGATCAACACTCTGTCTAACCCAATGTCCCAGTCTTCCATGCTTTCTGGGTGAGACAGTTCCAAAGACTAATGATGATATTCTGATGAAGAGTCAGCGGACTTGAAACATTAACTCTGCTTTCTTCCCACAGATACTGCAAGACCTGCTGAGTTTCGCCAGCAATTTCTGTTTTTGTTCCAAAGACTAACAGTTCACTCAGAGAAAAATATCCCTCTTTGTCCCTGTCTGAAATAGGAAACCCCTTATTTTTAATTTGTGTCTCCCAATTCTGAACCACTCCACAAAGGTAAACACCCTCTCTCATCAGCCCTGTCAAGACTCCTCAGGACCTTCCACATTTCAATAAGATCACCTCTCATCCATCCAAACTCTAACGGATAGAGGTCCAACTTGCTCAATGTTTCACGGGATAACAAGGTGTAGAGCTGGATGAACACAGCAGGCCAAGCAGCATCATAGGAGCAGGAAGGCTGACGTTTCGGGCCTAGACCCTTCATCAGAAAATGTTTCACGGTCAGGCAAGCAGGAACCAGCAAAGTGAACTTTCTCTGAACTGCTTCTACCGTGACTTTTTTCCTTTCTTATGTAAGGAGATCAAAACGCGACACAGTACTCCAGGTCATTCTCACTATCCAGCTGGCAAGGACCTAGTATTTACACTCACATATTCCTGGGTTCCCCTGTACATACTGCAGATACACTCGCAGGCACTAATTATTACTCATAGTCAGACACCTCTAAGCATGAAGATTGCCTCAGATTCTACTTTCCCTGTAAAAACTGAACCTCGAATGCAAACATCCGCAAGACAGAATTCCCAATCACAAGTGGCTCGTTGCTCTATCTCTCGATAGAGAACCGGCAGCCACTCAATGGGCCGAACGATCTCCTTCCGCGCCCCAGCCACTTACGGTCTTTAGCTGATGGCAGTGAAAACTGTTCCTCTTTCAACTTTTACAATTCAATAAAGAACGCAGAAACCCGACAGCGAGACCCTGTGCTGAATGAAGAAGCAGGAAGCCCTGTGTCAGGTCTGAGGGGGGACAGCTGGACTATCTCCTGTCTCTAACCGGTTCAGTCGGTTCCCCACGTTAACTTCAAGGCAGATTGTCTCAGGACAGTACTAGCACCTTCCCTGCCCCTCAGGCTCGGCTTTAGCAGAGCAAACTCAACAAGACACTCACCAGAAACTCCCCCGAGATTGTCTCCTCTTTGTTGTGTACCTGCCTGAGGAACCTTACCAGGATGGTTCCTTGGTCCATGCTGAGAGATGGCGAGCTGCTGGTAACTCTGCCCAGCTACTGCGGGACATGACAGAGGCTGAGACTTAACTGACCTGAAAGGCAGGACTTTGAACTGCATGTCTGCGGTTTTAACACAAGCAGGAGGGAATCAGCAGTCACTGTTACCGCGGTCAGAGAAGGGAAGAGAGACAGGCTCTCTGTGGGTCCTAGTGCCTCTTGGCGATGGCAGACAGTATCTACATTGTTTGGTATATGCTCGTGTTTTTTTGTTTGGGCGCCTCTAAAGTTTTACACCCATTTTCCAACTCGAGAGATTGCTCTTTTAAATTAAAATATTTAAGTTAGGGAACTGTGTTTGACTTGTAACAACATTTTTTAACGATACACCCTTATTGGAATAAAATGTTTCAAATCACTTTACAATAATATTTGTAAAGAGAAATTTGGCATGTAATACGTTACATAATCTTGGATATTTAATCCATCTTTACTTTTATTTATATACTTCATTGTGTATTTTATTTCTGCCTGTTCTGTGTGTGTACTATAGGGTGGGCTATTTCTGTGTGTTTACATGTGTGTGTGTTTATTTGGTTGTTTGTGTGTAGGGGAGACTGTAAATTTGTTTGGGGTTATATTTGTGGGGGTTGGGGCTGCTGTGAGTCTCTGAGGTTGTGTATTTGTGTGAGGTGTTGTTAGCTATGGTTCTTTTACATGCATATATATGTCTGTGAATGTATCTGTTTGTGAGTTTGTATCTGTCTATGTGCATATCTGTGCCTGTATGTGTTTGTGTATGTCTGTGTGTGTGCACTGTGAGTGTGTGTCTGTCCCTATGTGCCTGTCTGTCTCTGTGTTTTGTACATGTGTGTGTAAGTGTATCTGTGTCTGTGTGTCTATGTGTGTCTGTGTATCTGTCTTCTGTACATGTGTGTGTGTGTGTGCATGTCTTGTGTGTGTCACTTTGTCTGTCTTATTTTTGTTCATTCACAGGATGTAGGCATCACTGGCTGGCCCAGTATTTGTTGCCCCGTCCTAGTTGTCCTTGAGAAGGTGGGGGTGAACTGACTTCTTGAACCGTTGCAGTTCACATTCTGTCAGTAGACCCACAGTGCCTGAAGTGAAGGAATAAGTAAGGGAGGTGTGTGTTTTGTGCATGTTGTGCATATCTGTCTGTATATATGTGTCTGCCTGTATGTTCTTTGCATGTGTGCCTGTGTGTGGGTGTGTATATCTAATTATGCTTATGTGTGTGTTTGTGTCTGTCTATGTGTCTGTGAGTCTGTCTGTACTTGTGTCTGTTTGTCTGTCCATCTGTGTGTTTTGTGTTTTTGTGTGTGTCTGTGGCTGTCTTACCTGTGTTTATGTGTTGCCTCTCTGTGTGTTTATGTCTGTGTGTTTTGTTCCTCTGTGTGTATGTGTGCGTCTGTGTTTGTTCTTTGTGTGTGTATGTCTGTCTTATGTTTTGTGCTTCTCATGTTTGTCTATATTGTGTGCGTATTTGCATTACTTATGTCTATGTGTCTGTTTGTCTGACTGTATATTTCCTGTCTGTCTGTCTGTGTGTTTTATGCCTGTGTATGTGCACATGTGTGTGTTGAGCATGTGTGAATGTGTTTCATTACTTCAACTTCCCTGGTTCAGTTTTAAATGTTGTTCAGCTGTAAATTCATCTGATTTTGAGCACAAGCCCATACCTTTTTCTTTTCCTTCCTTTTCATTGAGGCTGGAGCTTTAATAACTGCCTAAGGAGACGGCAAATGCTGTTAGGAGAGGTCAGGGGAAAAGTAAGCTTCTGTGACTCATCATAAAATTTGAAAAGAATCTAGAACAAGGTAAACCAGATAAAAACGATTTAGTAAGGTTTAGATAAATTGGGAAAGCTGTCTCACGGACTAAGTCAGGCAACAGCGTGACATAGTCATACTCATGGAATCCTACTTTACCGACAATATCCCAGACACCATCATTACCATCCCTATCCCAGGATATGTTGTGTCCCACAGGCAGGAAAGACCCAGCAGAGGTAGCAGCACAGTGGGATACAGTCGATAGGGAGTTGCTCTGGGAGTCTTCAACATTGACTCTGGACCCCATGAATTCTCATGGTTTCAAGTTAAACCTGATTAAGGAAACCTCCTGCTGATTACCACATACCGTCCTCCCTCAGCTGATAAATCTGTACTCCTCCATGTTGAACTTCACTTTAGGAAGCACCGAGGGTGGCAAAGGTGCAAAATGTACTCTGGGAGGGGAATTACAATGTCCTCCACCAAGAGTGGCTCAGCAGCAGTACTACTGATTGAGCTGGTCAGGTCCTAAAGGACATAGCTGCTAGACTGGGTCTGCGGCAGGTGGTGAGGGACCCAACAAGAGGGAAAAACATACTTGACCTCATCCTTACCAATCTGCCAGCTGCAGATGCATCTGTCCATGACAGTATCGGTAAGAGTGACCATCGCACAGTCCTTGTGGAGACAAAGTCCCACCTTCACATTGAGAACAGCCTCCATCATGTTGTGTGGCACTATCACCGTGCTAAATGGAACAGACTTTGCACAGATCTAGCAACTCAAGACTGAGTATCCATGAGGCACTGTGGGCCATCAACAGCAGCAGAATTGTACTCCAGCACAATCTGCAATGCCATGCCCTGCATTTTCCCCCATTCAAGGAGTTCTAGCAAAATTGGAATCAATGGGTATCAGGGGCAAACTCTCCGCTGGTTTGGTTCATTCCTGGCATATAAGAAGATGGTTGTGGTTGTTGGAGGTCAGTCATCTCAGCTCCAGCACATCTCTGCAGGAGTTCCTTAGGATAGTGTCCTAGGCCCAACCATCTTCAGCTGCTTCATCCATGACATCCCCTCCATCATTAGGTCAGAGGTGATTGTACAATGCTCAGCATCATTCGCGACTCCTCAGACACTGAAGCAGCTCGTGTTCAAATGGTACAAGAAATGGATAATATCCAGGCTGACAAGTGGCAAGTAACATTCATGCCACACAAATGCTAGGCCATGGCCATCTTCAATCAGAGACAATCTAACGACCACCCCTTGACATTCAATGGTGTTATCGTCAATGAATCCCTCACTATCAACATACTGGGGTTACCCTTGACCACAAACTCAACTGGACGCACCACATAAACACAGTGGCTACAAGAGCAGTTCAGAAGCTAGGAATATTGCGACTAGTAACTCACCTCCTCACTCGCCAAAGCCTGTCCACCACCTACAAGACACAAGTCAGGAGTGTGATGGAATATTTCCCATTTGAGTGCAGCTCCAACAAAAGTCAAGAAGCTTGATACCATCCAGGATAGAACAGCCCGCTAAATCGGCACCACATCCACAAGCATCCTCTCCCTCCACCACCAATGCTCAGTGGAAGCAGTGTGTACCGTCTATAAGATGCACCATAGAAATTCACCAAAGCTCCTTAGACATCACCTTCCAAACCAGCGGCCACTTCCACCTAGAATGGCAAGGGCAGCAGATACATGGGAACTCCACCATTTGCTAGTTCCCCTCCCTTCGACTGAGAAAGTAAACTGCTTGGTCATATGCAGAAAGAACTCCTCACATTATTGAAGAAGACCAGGAAGGTCCTGCTCAATGTTTATTATTCATCAAAGACATTTGTCTTAGGGTCCTTGCTGTGCTCAGATTCAAGGATGATTTTTTGGCTGTGCAGTATTGAAGATATCCCTGAGGATGTGAAAGCAGTGATACCAACATGAGCCTTGAATTATAATAATAATTTCATTCCAAGAGACCATCATGCTAATTTCAGAGAGATTCCATGAGGCTTTCTTAAACTACTGCATGACAATTTCCTTCATGTTCATTGATTTGATTCTTTGCTGTAGACAATTGCATGGAACAATATGGAAACAGCTGAGTCAATACAGTGTGGAGCTGGAGGAGCACAGCAGGTCAGGCAGCATCAGGGGAGCAGGAGAGTTGATGTTTCAGGTCAGGACTCTTCATCAGGACTGGAGAGGGGGAAGGGAGCTGGGAAATAAATGGGGGGGGTGGATTTGGGGCTGGGGTAAGGTAGGTGGGATGGTGATAGGTGGATGCAGGTAGGGGGTTGTGGAGATAAGTCATGGGAAGGGTGGGGCAGACAAATGGGAAAGAAGGTGGACAGGTTGTGTCAGGTCAAGGAGGCAGGGACGAGAAGGAGGGTTGGACATGGGATGGGGGTGGGGGTGGGGAGGTTTTGAAACTGGTGAATTCTATGTTGAAGCCATCGGGCTGTAGGCTTCCGAGGTGGAATATGAGGTGCTGCTCCTCCAGTTTCCGTGTGGTATCATTGTGACACTGGAGGAGGCCCAGGATGGACATGTCACCCAGGGAGTGGGAGGGGGAGTTAAAACGGTTGGCAACCAGAAAGTGTTCTTGATTATAGCGTATAGAGTGCAGATGCTCCACGAATCAGTCACCGAGTCTGCGCTTGGTCTCAGCGATGTAGAGGAGGCTACATCAGGAGCGACGAATACAGTAGACCAGGTTGCAGGATGTACAGGTGATCCCCTGTCGGATTTGGAAAGAATGTTTTGTGCCTGGGATGGAGGTGAGGGGGGAGGTGTAGGGGCAGGTGTAGCACCTCCTGTCATTGCAGGGAAAGGTGCCGGGGCTGGTGGGGTTAGTGGGGAGTGTGGAGCGGACGAGGGAATCGTGGAGTGAACGGTCCCTGTGGAAAGCAGACAGGGTTGGGGAGGGAAATATCTCTTTAGTGGTGAGGTCGGATTGCAGGTGGCAGAATTGGTGGAGGATGATCCGCTGGATGTGGAGGTTGGGGGGGTTGGTATGTGAGGACTGGGGGACTCTGTCCTTATTTTTGTTAGGAGGAGAAGGTTTGAGGACAGAAGTGTGGGAAATGCAAGAGATGCGGTTGAGAGCATTACAAATCACTGGAGGGGGGATGTTGCGGTCCTTGGTGAGACCAAGCGCAGACTCGGTAACCAATTCGTGGAGCATCTGTGCTCTGTTCACTATAATCTACAGCACCTTCCAGTCGCCAACCACTTTAACTCCCCCTCCCACTCTTGGGTGACATGTCCATCCTGGGCCTCCTCCAGTGTCACAATAAGGACACACGTAAACTGGAAGAACAG